GGGGGGGGGGTGTGTAGGGAGGGGAGGATCTGTGAGGATCTGTTATTATAGAAGTAGGGAAGTGTGATATTCTTCTTCTGTTTTGTTCGTGTGCTCTGGACTCCTACGGTACTGGTAGAGTCCAATCATGAAAGAAGGGCAAAAGCCTGACCCAGCAAATTCAATGCTGGGCAAGTGAAGAGAGAGGGAGGGGATTTATCTAGGCCCTAGGGTTCGATCAACGAGTTATATATAATTAAGCTTCAAGCAAAGTCATAAAGGTGTTTCTGTTCAGCTCTACAGAGGATGTCACAAAGAACGGCTGGCAGTGTGTGACAAAGTCAAAAGTCCGTACTGAATAAAAAGAAAGTCCGTACTGAATAAATCCGTCGGTTGCCTTCCTTTTTGTGAAAGTCATGGTGAAGAGTCCGAAGACGAAGAGGTTAGTTTATGGTGAGTGGATTGGCCGTTGTGGGAACTTCAACGCCTTTCAAGTTGTGGTTGGAGTACAGTGGGTTTCTCTTTCCCAGAGGCGCCAGCGGAAGGTTATAAGAGAGTTCAAGAACCAAATTGGATTGGATTGGATGCATAAAGTATGCCTGTTATCAGCCGGCAGGGGATTTTTTTTTCCAGCGGTCAAATCGATGCAGCAATGTGGTTGTTGATAGTGCCTAGAGAGCAGCATCTGATTCCAGTGGAGTGGGATGTTTCGTCAAATGTGCTGCACAGTGCGCACCCTGCGCTCAAAGCAGAAATGCTGGTTTGCTATGCCAGGACCACAGATCGCGATGGCGTGATGTTATCATCAGAGAGACTGGGGCAAGATACCTGTGAGGACCTGCGGAGGAAATGATGCAGTGCCACTTGCGATTGTGCGCCCCTTAGGCTAGTGCTCAATGATGTCGTGGATGGGTTTTGTTGTGGTTTTGCCCATGTTGAACAAAAGGGGCTGCAGGGAGGTAATAGCATCGCCATCGCCATGGCCATCACCGTCACCATCATCCCAGAAAGTGTTTGCAAACTTGAGCACGGACGTCAGGTTTTGCATGACGCGTGATGCGTGCCATTGGGAGAAAAAGAGGGTGGTGAATTGGAGGGACACAGTCATGGTTCTTGCCTGCTGCTATGGATGATAGGATATTGTGGGTGGGAGGGAGAGTCCTCTGCGGGAGCTAGCAATGATGTGAACATCCTCATGGTTCTTGCCTGCTGCTATGGATGATAGGATATTGTGGGTGGGAGGGAGAGTCCTCTGCAGGAGCTAGCAATGTGAACATCCCCTTTCGTTTCCTGTTTTGTTTTTCCCCGCTTTGTTTTTGGATTTTCTACGGCGGAGTTACGGGGGGGGTTACTACGGAGGTTCGACTGGTTTTTGACTCTTCAGGCTTCTTTCCATTGCTCGAGTTTGAGGAAGGCTGTGCCACTGGGTCCTTGTTTCAGCTCTGGAAGAGCGTGTGTGACACTGTGTGTTGGCGTGACGAGGCCGGAAGTTTGGCACTTAGTCTATCGTTTTTTTGTCCCCTTCGGAATGTGGTGACCTTCATCAACAGAGCAGGAATGTGCGTGCTCGCTTCAGCATGGCACGCCAAATGAATGTGTTTCTCGACCTGCTCTGCAGAACCAGATGATGCCAGGACTTGGCATTCTGTACAGGGCCATTTTATGGAGCTGCACTGAAAGCGTCATCATATCGAGCTTTGAGGAAGTGTTGGCTCCGTGCGTCACTCGTTAACTTCGATGTCAGCGGTGTGATGGCGCTGGCGAGAATGGTCCGAAATGGGTCCTCCCAAGTTGAGACTCTTGTGTGTGATTTATATATCCGATGAATGCAGTAGCATTATCTGCAGAAGCGGTGAAGGAATCGGAGGGGGAAGCAGAAGCAGCAGCACTTCGGCGGCTGAATGTGTGGAACGAAATTCAACGACAAAGATTACTAAGTACAAAGGCACATTTTGGTAATCGTACACTTACTTCAGACTTCCAGCCATATCTGTACGGATTACGAAATGAAATTGGCAAATTGCTAATCGATGTCGAAGCATTTGGATTGGGATTACTCTATAGCTATGGAGACCAGCTGTGGTGAGTGTTGTTAGCGTAGGAGGTGTAGTGTAGTCACAAGTAGACTTGTTTGGTCGATGTCCACTTTTGGAAAAAGGTCTGGGACATGCAGCAGACTACAAGATTTCTTTGTTTTTGTGTATCTTTAACCTTTTTTTTTTTTTTTTTTTTTTTTTTTTTTTTTTTTTTTGCAACGGAGTAACGCTTTTTCAGAATTTGGTGGTCTTGAGTGGGCAGTGTGAGGTTGACGGCTTTTCTAGAATAGAAAATCCTAGTTGAGGGGGTTAGAGGTGGGATATTGGAATTCTGTGCATGGCACTTTCCTAATGCCTGTTCATTTGTGACCTTCTCCTTTAACGCACGTGATAGTGTCTCGTCCGTTTGAGAATTCGGATGTTTTCTCTTAGTCAGTTTATGAGATGTGTAGGATGTAGTAAAGAGTAGGTTCAAATGGAGGGGCATTTGGGGTATAACAACAAGCAGAACTTTTTTTTTTTTTTTTTGTTCCGCCTTTTATGCAAATTCTCAGTGTGTGTGCCAAATGTATAAAGAAGTAAATTTTAGTTTGAGCATACTATAGCATAGACTCCAATTTTAACAATTTTAATTTGAAACCTCAGAAGTTCGTTTCATCGCCAACACTTCGGATCCATGTCTCAGAGTGGCAAGAGCTTGGTTTTGCATGTCAATGTGTGTCATTGTGTGCTAAGTTGCAACTAGTTAACTAGTGAATATCATCCAGCATAATCTCCTGTACCGGAAAGGCTATGAGTCAGCGAGGTCGGTGGCGTCTGCCTCGGCATGGTCTGCCTATGTTGTTGTGCACTCTTTGTTCTCTGTCCTTCCTTGCTCGCTCTCGGGTTCAGTGATTGGTCTCTTTTGCGGCAGAAGTTTTGGTGTACGGAGTTTTTTTTTGTTTTTTTTTTGGTGGTGGGGGGGAGGGTGTGCCATACCAAAGCTTATTTGCCTAAACTTCAGCAAGATTTCCATTTAACTTTGGTGCATTGAAAATGTGCAGAATTCTCATGTGTTGAGCATAATTGAGCCTATTCCTTGCATGGTGTCAGACATTGTGGCAGTGACTGTGTGTGTGTGTGTGTGTGTGTGTGTGTGGGCGTGTACTGTCCAGTCTTCCCGTGTTTACCTATGACTTGGACGGTGTTGCTTGTGTGGTTTGGGGTCATAGTACGGCTTCAGACATGGTGGAGGTACCTGTGTGTGTGTGTGTGTGTTTGTGTGTGTGTGTGTGTGTGTGTGTGTGTGTGTGCGCGTGCGCGCGTGTGAGTGGGTGTGCGTGTGTGTCTGCACTGTCCAGTCTTCCTGTATTTGACCATGACTCAGTCGGTGTTGCTTGTGTGGTTTGAGGTCGGTGGCCTCGGACATGGTGGCGCGGTCAGATTCATCCTCTTTGAAACTTTGGAAAAGAATGAACTGCGGGGCGGGGGGGTGAAAGTGTGGTGATGCGAACGTTCGTGCTCGTTTTGGAAGTTTGGAATGAACGGCGCAGTGGGGAATGAAGTGAGAGAGAGAGAGAGTTTAGGGGAGCGCAGCTTTTCCAAATGTGCAAATCGAGAATGAATCCTTTCCCATAACGTGGGAATGTTCATTCTCATTTTATGTGCTGCTGCTGCCCGCGAGGGTTTTTGTTTTTCTTTAACGACCAAAGCGGCAAAGCCTGTGCGCCTTCCGGTAACTCCAGGCTCGGCTGGGTTTGGGTTTGGCATACCGGTAGGGCCAGCCAGGCTCGGGGACTGTGTGAGCTGAGAAAGTAACTGGTGGTTTGAACTGCCCCTACCTTTGATAACTTCGCAGTTGGGTGTCACTCTTTTGAGGAGGTGGCAGGAGCATCCTCCTCAAGTGGCCCCTGCGATGAAGGCTCCATCTATTGGTGGGGAGATGCACCTGCTGGAAACCAGGTGCAGCGTCCCAGATATGACATTACAGAGTTGAGGTTGTGGACCCGTAGTTTGGCCTGTTCATGGAACCGCTATAGAAATCATTTGGACTATTTTTCCTAGTATTATTATACGAATGTTCATTGCAATACCATCATTTGCTCTAATTATATTCCATGGACGAGGTAGTAGATCCTGCAATTACTATCAAAGTGATTGGATCCAGTACCATTGATGTCCAATCACTTTGATAGTAATTGCAGGGTCTCCAAGTCTTTATGTTTGCCTCCTTTTGTACGTCATTGTCTTGCTGGTTGCAGACCTGATGCCGCGTCCCTGGAGATACAGAACAGTGCTTGGGGTTGTTGTTGTGTTAGCCATGTGGCACTCATATTACCGAGGGACCCGTGTTTCCTATACTCTTGTTTAACTCTGTTTATACCCCTTCCTCGTACCCGCTGTAGAACCAGAACAAGCTTCCCACTAACACAGTGCAATGCTGGGCCCAGGGGTCGTTGCTGTGTAGTAGTCTGGCCGTCCTACTGCTGGCCTTCGTTTGCTGTGTAGCTTTCTGTCTGCCCATGCTTCTGCCTCTCCCTTGTGTATTGACATGGCCCCTTTACCGCTAGCTTCTACCCCTCCTCCCCCTTTTTGTTCTAAGACTTCTGTTTCCCTATGGCAGAGAGGGCCCATATCAACCTGACTTCAGGCCCTTCTTTAGGAGGCTGAAGCGAAATGGCAGCCGCCGATGAGATTTGTCAGCGGCGCTCGTCGTTGGGCTGAGCCTCCAATGTTTTAGGAGCAGGCATTTTCTGTTTTCCCAACAGCGGGAGAGGCTGTTTTCCCGATTCGGAGCCATTGCTACGGTGCTGTGGCGACGAGTTCCTTTTTCTGCAAGGGCGGGCCCGTGTACTGGCGGCTTAATGCTTTCTGAGTAACACATTTGCTCATTTCCTTTGGGTGAGTTCTCTCTACGTTGTGCTTCCTTAGGGCTGATGCTGGTCAGTGAAGTTAATGCTTGCTCCTGTTTGGGGATCATCATGGCTGAAGCCTGAAAGTGACTTTTCAGCTGACGGTCATTTTTTACTTGTCTGGCTTCTGGAATTGGGGGCCTACTGTGTACGATCTATGTCGTTTGCATCTATAACAACCTATCATGGTCATGATTTTTGTGCAACTTTCCGATATTTCTCTCGACAATCTTGCTAATTGCACCCACCTTGTGTGCGTCACCGTTGCGGAAAGATTCAATCTCAAAATGACACAAATTAAAACTTTCTGAGAGATTCCTGGGTTGGCAAATATCCCGCATCCCAGTTTTTCTGATATGTTCTGCACTGTCCATGAATGGGTTTTCCAGCAGGTGTTGCTCCCCACCAATCGATGGGGCGCCTGCTCCCCATCAGTAGATGGAGCCTCCCCCCAGGTGCTATCGGTGTCTGCTCTTATCAGCACCACTAGCACTGGTGGTGGCGGCTGCTTGTTGATCCCTGTTCCACCTGCATGTTGTATCTCGCGCACAATCACAATGACATCGCTTGCACGTTCGTATGTACTAAGCAAGAAGATACCAATCAATCAATCAATCAATAATTGTTACTTGATTGATTGATTACAATTGAATCGAATTGATTGATTGGTTGATGCACATCCATGCACAGCATTCCACACCAAACATCCATGCACAATGAGAATGACATGGGCAACAACACACTAGATCGAAGCTCAGAATTGTTTTATTTTAGGCTAAAGCAAACTTGGATCAATTTTTTTCATTTAACAACTCTTGCTCGTATTTAAGAATTTGTGAAATCTGAATGTGAGCTAGGTAACCTTTTGACAGCCCACCAAGATTTCCACTCCTGTGTACCCCTGGTCGCACACTTTTTGTCTTTTTTAATCAGTCTGTTGCTCCCTCAATGACAGGCTTTCTTTGCACCCTGTATGACACTTTCTTCCTCTTCTTCCTGTTTTTTTTTTTTTTTTTTTTCTTTTCCCTCCCCTGTGCTTACTAGCTGTTTGCTTGCCATAAAATTCAACAGAATCTACTAGAAATGATAAGTAACCTGCTACGCTTCCGACCTACCGGACAGGATAGTTTTTTTCTTTTTTTCAACCACGCTGCCAGCCTGCCACGTTAGGAGGGGTGATATGAGCACCCCCTCCTAGCGGGCCGCCTGGTTTCTCCAGTCTATTGGTGGGGAGCAGCACCTGCTGGAAAACGGGTCCAGTGTGCCACTGAACATCTCAAGGCTGAATTTCACTGTGTCACCTCCGAGCATTGATTGCCCGTGTTATCGGGGTAGAACTCAGCAACTCGCTAAATAGCTCCCTACCCCACAGACACCGGATTTTTTCAATTTTAGTAAAAAACAAACATTGTCAAATAAAAGTGATAAAAAGTCAGACTAAGTTCACAAATTTTGACAAAAAGAATACTGAATAAGACAGTAGTAGCTGAAAAGCACCGCAGATTCTGTGGAAAATAGAGAACACAAGAGGACACACGAAGTGCTGCGCCCTCGTCGACATATTCTCTGGGCGTTGGTCACGACTCTCTCTGGCCAGCCAAAAGAAACCACTTTTCTGGTGACCAACCTTCAACATGCTGATCTCCAATCTCTGTATTCTGATTGGAATGAAGAAAGTCGCGTCGTGGTAACTTCAACTTCCGGAGGAGCCCATATTGCCGCCCAAACTCTACCCGGTTTTGGAGCATGGGCTCTGTACGCTGTGTATGACCATCCTTCGTTGTGTATATGGTTGTGCAAATCTGTGTTTTGGAGGTGGGTTTCTTGAATGCAGATGACACCTCCCGGCCTGTTTTCAAGACAACCCCTGGTTGAGCTTCAACACCATTTTTTTGGGTCTGGCACGTTTCGGCATTCAAGTTGGCAAGAGCAGCCTCCTGGACGGGCCAGCACTATATAGGACTGGCCCGCCCTGCAGGGCGGTAGGTAGTTCCTAGGTACTTCCCAGGCACTTCAGGTGCAGTTCAGGAGGCAGGAGGTAGTATTCAGGATTCGGCAGCAGCACTTTGGAGGAGCGCTGCAGGAGTAGGTAGTAGCGCTAGCAGTAGCCTTCAGTGTTGGGCGCTAGTAGCGTTAGCTGTAGTCTTCAGCGCTGGGCGCTAGTAGGAGCTAGAGTAGTACCGGAGAGAGAGAGATTGGGTGGAGGCCAGGGATACTTACCTGCGGCGCCATAGCGCCAGCTTTGGCTTCGAGGTACCTGCAGCACAGCGCCATCTTCACAGGTTAGTACCTGGCATATGAGAGAGAGAGAGAGAGAGAGAGAGAGTCCTTCTTCCTCTTCTCAGTCCACCATCTCCCTCTCACCTTTTCGCTACCTGACTTCACTGCATCAGCAGACTACGAGGGAAAGAGAGAGCCTGGTGACCCTTTGGATCCAGACTCGACATTTGGGCTTCAGACATTTTGACGAGGGAATATTTGGGACTCGTGACAAAGACTTGGTGTTGATGACATTCCCRTCTCTCCCCCTCTTCTTCGTTTGTTCCCCTCCTCTTCGTCTGTGCATGATCAGGGCCTGGCGCCTTCTTCCTGTGTATAGCGCCAGGTCTCTTCACACCTTGTGATGAGAATGATGTATGTTTAGTCGGTGTTGCAACATTGATTGGGCTAGTCATCGATATTCTAGCATTCTGCTACGCTATCTTG